CTACGACGGCTACTACTACTGCTAGTGCTAGTGCTTGCGCGCTGCCGCCAGACCCCAGACTCTGCGGTGTTCGCGCGCGCTGTGTTCACAGGCGGTGTGGCCTTGATAAACAATGTGGTGTTTTCTGGTTGTGCAGTGTTCACGGGCGATGTGGTATTCACAAATATTGTGGTGTTCGCAGGTATTATGTTCACAGGCGCTTTCGTGTTCACGGACGCTGTGGTGTTCACGGACGCTGTGCTTTTCAAAAGCATTGGTGTTCACAGACACGTCGCGTTGATCGGATCGCAAGCTATTGCGGCGCTGGTCACAGGCACGTCGCGACTGTCGGGTCGCAGGCGATTGTTTTTCGCAGGCGTATTGCGGTGCTTACGGGCATGTTGCGGCACCCCAGGCGCATCCCCACCGTGACGTGACTGGCGCGGCGTTACCCCCCCCAGGTCACGCCCGTGACCGGCCCGAATAACCGAATGGACTCCAGCCCCTCCAAGAACATGGCACCGGAGGGCAAACTCGCAGGCCACAAGGGGGAAAACCCTAGGCACGCGCCTTTTCCACTGGGTTGTAACAGAATCGTCCATCCAAGCACCTCCCCTTCCTGCCCCTCCTACCTTCCCCCTGCCACCCCCTCCCCATACCAACCCGCTCCGTTCCCACGTGAGGCGAATTTCCCTTAGCAGCGAATTGTTTTTTTTTGATTTCGGTCTCTCGAGTGATCAACCTTTCACAGACAGATCGGCTCGAATGCCCAATCCACCGCCCGCCGCCACCCTTATCCTTCTTCGACTCCCCCCTCGCTTCCTCCATCCCCCCCTCCCTCCCTGCTCTCCCTCCCTCTTCCTCACTCCTCCCTCCCTCTCTCCTCTCCTCGCCCCCACCCAACCCATCCGCCAACGCCGCCTGCCCGAGGACCGGCGCCGCCAAGAAGCCGGCGCCGGCGCCCCGGCTGCAGGTTCCGACCCCCTCCGAAGACGAGGTCGGGGGGAAGGAGGGGGGAAGGGCATGGAGGACGAGGGAGGCGACGACCGACGACGACACCATCACGACGATCGCCGACGATCGGCGACGTTCGACGACGACGGCGATCGAAGAGCGAGGACTATTGGCGACGCCGACGACGACGATCGACGACAATCGACGATTCACGATTTCCGGCGACGACGACGGTCGACGACAATCGACGACGACGACGACGACCATCGAGGTTGATCGACGATAATCGGTGGACGCGCTCGTTCGATGGTCGACGATGTTGGGGGGCAGGGCGGGCGTTCTACAGTTTCGCGGGAGGCGAGAAAAAATGATCTGGCGGGATGACTGGAGGCGCCTCCTCTCTTTTCCGGCATCCCCGTTCCTTCTCTTCCTGCGTCTTTTTTTCCTCCTTATACAGAACTCCTGCCTGTCGCACCCCGACGCGCGTCGGTAGGGACGGCCGGGCATTTCGCCCTGATTTGCTTTTACTTCTTGTAATATTGAATGTGCAACATCGTCACGGATGGAGGGCGGGTGGTTTTCAAAATGTGGCCCTCGCCTTGACGACGCGCGCATTCGTGTCCAAAGTTGCGCAAGAGTTTCATAGATGGAGGTCGTTTCTGTTTCAAAATGTGGACCTCGCCCCAGCGCCACGCACATTCGAAAGTTCGCAAGACCGTCACGGATGTGGGGCGGGTGGTTTTTTTAATCTGGGTTCTCGCCCTAGCGCCGCGCACATTCGTAAGAGTTTCCAGCAATTTTCAGAATTGAAGGCAAGCGGTTTTAACAATGTGATTCTCGTTTGATCGGGTGAGTGGTAATAGGTGGTGTACTATGGGGGGAGTGAAGAAAGCAGCACCCTTGAGACATTTGACGAACCCTCTATGAACCCTTTGTTGCTTTGTGCATTGCTGCACGTTCTCGGCGCGGGGAATGCGCCAGTGGTTCACTGCACAGTGGAACCTACGCGCGCGAAGCATCTGGCAGTGTCCAGCTGATGGCGCAACGCCAGGCCCCGACGGGGTGCTCGGCGATATCCTGGCCGCGTGCGCGCGGCCGCCGCGCCCCGACAAGAAGCGGACAGGAACGGCGTTCTGGCACGAGCTGGGATGGCAGAGACGCAGCAGCAACGCTGATTCGCAACGCTGGCGTAACTCGTAGAGCTTTCCTAAGAACGAAGCGGCGAAGCTTGAGAGTAATTCGAAAACGCTGGCGGGCTAGTTGGCTCGAAAAATATCGACGGATGTTTTGCTGAATTTGCTGAGACGCAGCAGCAACGCTGATTCCCAGCGCTGGCGTTTTGGCGCGATTGGGGACTTTTGGACGGTTGCATCTCAACAGGGCTTTTCCTGCAGCGAAAACGAATGCATGCGGGAACCCACGAGGTGGGAACTTGGAAGGATCCGGATGGTGTAAGGCAACATCGTTGATGCGTTCTGGGTTTGCACTGGTCCCCCTCCTCCTCGTCATCCCTCTTCTCTTCTCTTTCTCCGACCAGGAGGAGGGGGATGGATGAGGGAGGAGGGGGGCAGGACGAGGTACGAGAGATAATAGAGAAGGGGGGAGGAGGTAGGCCAGAGCGGGGAGGAAAGGGGGCAAGAGAGAGAGAGAGGTTGGAGAGCAGGTAGCCCAGCAGGAACGAGGCTGAGCGGCCTAGGCGGCAAATAGCTGAATCGCAAAAGGTGGAGGAGGATTGGAGGGTGAGTGGGAAGAGAGGAGAGTGAGGTAGGAGGGGGAAGGGCGAGGGGGAGCACGATGAGGAACAGGACAGCGGCATGGGAGGTGAGAGTCGAGCAGAACCGAGCGGAATGGAATGGATGGCGTCATGTGACGTGGCGCGGAGGAGAAGAAGGGAGAGGGAGGGAAGGGAAGTAGTGAGCAAAAGGTCCACTGTGAACACGTGTGTTTTTCAAACAACGGCGGTTGGGGCAAGCAGGGTCACAGAGATGCGCGAAAACTCAGCCCCGCCAACTGTCACTCCCAAGGAGCATTTGACCCGCTTCTATGCCACACGAGACGGCGCCACGCCGCGACACAGCAACAGGGCACGGCACGGCAACCCCAGCGCATCTACGAAGAGGGAGTACGGCGCGGCGCAGCGCGGCGCGCCCGACGAAACGACGAGTTGTGAGCGCGGCGCGAGACTGAGCGTTCGAGAAAGTGCTTCGCTGTCGAGGATCGATGGAGTCGGCATCTCTTCCTCAGCGGAAGGTGGCGGAAGTACAACCAGGGCCGTTGCGCCGGCGGAAGTTCGGCGGAAGGCAGCGGGAGTCAGCAGTACGCACGGCCCATAACACGGCGCGGCACGACGCGGCATGGCGCACGCCATCCGTTGGACGGCATTGCACGGCACGCGCCAGACGGAATCACGAGGCACGATTTGGCACGGCACACCGCGGCGCGGCATGGCATGGCATGGCACGACGGCGCGTAGCGCGCCCCACGAAGCCACGAGGCACGACACGGCGCAGCGCGGCTCCACGGCATGGCAGGGGCCGGCACCACGCCTGACGGAGCAGCACTTTTTTCAGAAGTTGGCAAGACGGCACAACACGCCTCGGCACGCGTTTACGGAACGGGCCCCCGGAATGGACGTTGACAACGCGGCACGACACGGCACGGTTCGGCACGACGGTCTGGCATGTTGGCACGGCACGGCACGGAGCAGCACGGGCGCTCCGGAGCGGAACCAGAAATGGGCAGCATTGTTGAGCACGGCATGGCAACATACCCGACGCGTCACGGCACGGCTGCACGGCAGGGCACGCGCTCCGCAGAGCGGAGGCAAGAGATGGTAGCATGTCGCGGCATGGCGGATTCTCGACGCCACGGTCGTTGCCTACGGAACGAAGTCGCGAGAGGGGAACGGGAATGGGGCGGAGTTGGGATTGGTATCCCCTGCGCGAGCAGATTGCGTCTGAGCGTCATGAGCAACAGCTCTTTTTTCGTCATATTTATCTTCATCGCACTCCTCCCCCTACTCGTCCTCCTCCTTCCTTCCTTTTTGTGCTTCTCATCCGGTATTCCCGCTCCGCTTCTCATCATCCTGGAGATTGGAGATGAGAAGAGACCGGAATCAGAAGCGACGCTCACACATCATCGGATCGCCCAATTCCCTCATCTCTGTTTGCATCTGTTTTCCCCATCTCTCTCCCTCTCTGTCTTTCTGCCACGGTCTCCAACTCTGCATCTCGATCCGTTTCTGTTTGTCTCCCTCCCCCCATCTCCTTCCCCCCCCCTCCCCCCCACCCCGCCCCACCCCAGGGTTCCTGTCTGAGCCCAACGTCGAATGGGTTCAGAAGGTACCTCCTTGACATCCTTGACTTCAGCCCGCGGCCCCGGACCTCCCAACCCCTTCCCCGAGCGTGGCGTTGCGTCCCGGGCCCCCTTTGATGGCCACGGGGCCCGATAAGCGGGCCCTGGATGCCGAATCCAAGGAAAGCTGCCGGGACCGAAGACAACTCAATCGTCGGAGACCTGGGCCTGGTGCACCCCTCCCTCGCCTCCTTCGAGCCTCTCCCCCTCACGGTGCAGCTCCTGGAAAGGTACATTCAGCATCGGCATTGGTACATCCGTGGTCGAAATCCAGCTCAGTGCGGCATGATCCAGCTTGATTCCGCTAAATCAGGCTTAGCCAGACTCACTCCCGGCCTTAATATTTGGGTTCATCCGGCTCAGTCGCTTTGTTTTTCGAGCTTACTAGCCCTTCATCGTTCTTACAAAGCCCTCCAGAAGTTGCCTCATAATCCCCCTCCACACACCCCCCGCCAGTCCCAGGGCCCAGTCAGGGCCCCGAGTAGGCCGAAAATTGCCCAAACCCTTGCGTCGTGACTTTTCACAACGCGATGAAGTGGCGTTTCTTTGCCTCGGCCAGGCGCGAGTAGAGAATGATACAGCCCGATCGTGACAACAAGTACCTCGACGTGGAGGAGAAGGAGGAGGAGGAGGAGGAGGAGGAGAAAGAGGCGGAGGCGTTGGGGGAGGAGCTCTGCTCCTGCTGGAGCCCTTCCGGCCCGGCGCACGGGCAGGCGGCCAAGAGCGGCGGCCCACCGCCGAGCGCCCGCCCACGTGCCCGCCGGCCAGAGGCCCCAGCCCCAGGGGGCGCGCTGGCCAGGCCGGGGGCCGCGCGCCCCCGCCACTCGCGCCGCCCAGCGGCTCCTGCCGGTGCACCCCTTCTCCTCCTCCTCCTCTCCTCCTCCTCCTCCTCCTTCTTCTTCCCCCCCCCCCCTCCTCCTCCGCCTTCTCCTCCTCCTCCTCCTCCTCCTCCTCCTCCTCCTCCTCCTCCTCCTCTCTTCCTCCTCCCCCTCCTCCTCCTCCTCCTCCTCCCCCTCCTCCTCCTTCTCCTCCTCCTCCTCCTCCATTATTTTTCCTTACAGATACCTCCTCCCTGTCGCACCACGAGGCTGGTCGAAAGGGCGGGCCGGGCAAGGTGGTTTTCAAGATGTGTCTCTCGCTTCGGCGCCGCACACACTCGTTCTAAGAATTTGCAACAGCTTCACGGATCGAGGGCGGTTGGTTTTCAAAATGTGGGTCTCGCCTTCGCGCCGTGCACATTCGATTGCAAAAGGTGCAAGGGTCTCACGGATTGAGGGCGGTTCGTTTTCAAAATGTGGTTCTCGCCTTGGCGCCGCGCACATTTGTTTCAACGAATGGCACGAGCTTCACGGATTGAGGGCGGTTCGTTTTCAAAATGTGGTTCTCGCCTTGGCGCCGCGCACATTTGTTTCAACGAATGGCACGAGCTTCACGGATTGAGGGCGGGTGGTGTTCAAAATGTGGTTCTCGCTTTAGCGCCGCGCACATTCGTTTTCAGCATTGGCAAAAGCTTCGCGATTTGAGGGCGGGTGGTTTTCAAAATGTGGTTCTCGCCTTCGCGCCGCGCACATTCGATTTAGAAAGTCGCAGAATTTGAACGGATTGAGAGCGGATCCTTTCCAAAATGTTTCTCTCGCCAAAGCGCCGTGCACACATGTTTTCAAACACTTGCAGGAGTTACATTGGCTCTCATGGCTGACTTGCTAGACATTGTGTTTTGGAGCGATTCAGGATTGCCAAGGCGCAACAGTTACGCTGATTCGCGATGTTGAAGTCCCAGGAATGGCGTTCTGGCACGTTTCAGGACCGCCAAGACGTAACAGTCAGGTTAAATCGTGGCGTTGAAATTTTGAGAATTAATTATGTTTGGGTGCGATTCAAGATGTTCACACGGTTGTCCCCCAACGGGGCACTCTTTCAGTGGAACGGACGTTTTGTAGGGGCCTATGTCCTCCTCCTCCTCCTCCTCCTCTTCCTCATCCTCATCCTCCTCCTCCCTCCTCCTCCTCCTCCTCATCCTCCTCTCTGTTCTAGGTTGTTTGGCCCCGCTCGTGAACCCAGACATGCTCGCGTCGTAAAACAAATCAGGACGGGAGGTTTCTCATCGTTGTTGGCCTCTCGGGGCCCTGACCGGGCCCTGGGACCGTGAAACAGCGATTCAGCATGAAAAACCGTTCCTAGGGAAACGCTCGGGACTTCCTGGGACCGCGTACTGCAAACATCAGGACGTCACATGTCTGGGCCCCCCTCCTCTCCCTGCCCTCAGACCTGGGCTTCGCAAGTGTTCTACAACGGGCGTTTTCGCCCGGTTACGGGCCCCAGGACCCTCACAGATCAATCCGGCCCGAAAAACGAAGCAGAGAGATGAGGTCTAGGGCTTTGGGCGTGATGTGTCTCCATGCTGTAGGGTTCTGCAACGTCGGATCTCAGGGCCCCTCCCTCCCCCCCTCCCTCGCCTCCGATCCCTCCCGTCCTCCTTCCTCTGCTCCCTCCCTCCCTTCGTTCCTCCCCTCCCTACGTCACAGGGTGAGGAGGGAGAGGAAGAGGTGGAGGAGAAGGAGGAGGGGCAAGGGAGGTGGGGAGGGAGGAGGGGGAGGAGGAGGAGGAGAAGGAGGAGGAGGAGGAGGAGGAGGAGGAGGAGAAGGAGGAGGAGGAGAAGGAGGAGGAGGAGGAGGAGGAAGAGGAAGGGTAAGGGAGGTGGGGAGGGAGGCGGGAGGGGAGGTGGCCAGGAAAGGGACCGCGGGGAGGGTGGGGGGACTTCGGGGCATGGATGTGATTCGGAGGTCGCACGTCTTAGCTGGGAGATGGACGCCTGGAGGTTCCTTGGTCGCCGCGACTGGACTAGGTTTGAAAGTGTGATCGGGCCGCTGTCCAGGGCAGATCAGGGTGCAGATGGCGGCCTCCTTCTGCCTCGGGCGTCTCCGCCAGGAGGACCTCATCATCCTCAAATCGGGAGCCTTGAGACGGGGGTCGGTGCGAATGGGTGTCAGCCATCTTGCAGGATCCTGCCAAGGCTGGCTTGCTCGCAGGATCCTGCAGGATCCTGCAGGATCCCGTGGGACTCTGCGGGATCCTGCAAAGCCCGACTGGCCCAGGTTTGGATTGACTCGGGTCAGTGCGTCCCCGATTGAAGCGTCATCTCGGAGGCGTCCAAGAGTGAGGTGAGGATTAGGGGTGAGTGTGTGTGTGTGTGCGTGTGCGGATATCACTGCC